AGCTGGTGCCACTGGGGGCTGGTCCATGGTGCACCCCCAGATGCTCCTGCAGCTGCCCTGGAGAGGGATCCGGACCCCAGGGAGGCCGGGGGTGGGTTACTTATGGGCAGGAGCTGGTGGGTTACGGGCTTGGTGGGCTCCACATGGCCAGTGAAATGTTAGAGCCCTCGGGCCCCGTTCAGGGAGGGGGGTTGGCAGCCAGGACTCCTGGGTTCTATCCCAGCTCCGGTGAGGGGTGGGGTCTAGAGGTTGGCGCAGGCAGGGACTGGGAGCCAGGACTCCTGGGTTCTGTTGTGCTCCGAGTGGCTGTGGAGTGTTTGAAGCCAGGCGTTACTAGGCTGTTCTCTTTAAAGGGGAATTGAATTGCTGTTGAAAACGCCTCCTGGGCCCCTGTGGCTCCTGCAGGGGAGCACCCGCCATAGGCAGCACCCCGGTGTGGAAACTGAGGCACGGAGAGAGCAAGTGGCTTGCTCAGGGTGATGCAAGTTTGTGGCAGAGCTGGGGATAGAAGCGAGGAGTCCCAACTCCCAGCCCCCCTCCCCCCCCCGCTCTAACCACTAGACCCCCACTCCCCTCCCAGAGCCGGGGAGAGAACCCAGGAGTCCTGGCTCCCAGCCCCCTGCGACCCGCCCATCCTCCAGACCCCGCCGATCCAGGAGCGCTTTCCGGCTGAGGTGAGTTCTGCATGTGCTGAAATAGGGGCTCGCAGCTGCTCTGAAGAAACGAGCGGTGGTTTCCCTCCATGTAGCGCGCAGCGGCCAAGAGCCGGGTCCCCGCTGCTGGGGCTGCTAGCGAGGACGGCCCGCGGCGCCCCTCCTTGTTAATTAGCCAGTGTTCATTAACAAGGCCGATATCCCCCTTCACATCTGCGGAGGGCTTGGCAGGCGCTGGCTGTTTAACTCGCAGATGAAGAGCGCCGTGGAAAGACTGTTTCCCCCGTTCGGGGCTGGTGGTGGGTCCCCCTGCATCCTCCCCTCTCCCCCCGCCATCTCCAGCTGCTCTGATCTTCTTTAGGGGGACTGAACCCCGGTTACGTTCCAGCCCATCCCCCAGCCAGCGCAGATGTCGCGTATGTTTTTGGCTGATCTGAGCGTCCCCAGAGGAAGCGCCACCTGGCTGGGACTCTGGGGAGCTGGGTTCAGTCCCTGGCTCTGCCACTGTGACCTTCAGCAAGTCACTTAGTCTACTGTGCCTCGGTTTCCCACTTGTAAAAAGAGAATCGATCCTTCCTGTGTCTGTTTAAATTGAGCTCTTTGGGCAGAGACTGTCTCTCTGTGTGTGTCTGCGTGGCAACAGGGCCCCCCAATCTCGGATGCTGCACTGCCCGCGATGGGGCCCTGATCCCGGCCGGGGTCTGGGCGGTGCCCGGCCCGACGGGGCCCTGATCCCGGCCGGGGTCTGGGCGGCGCCCGGCCCGACGGGGCCCTGATCCCGGCCGGGGTCTGGGCGGCGCCCGGCCCGACGGGGCCCTGATCTCGCCCGGGGTCTGGGCGGCGCCCGGCGCAATCTGAGCAGGGACGTGACAGAACTGCCCGGGGGGAAGGGGTTGGGTGAGTTAAGGCTGGCTCAGTGGGGCCGGACTGCCCTGACAAGTTCCCTGCCAGCTTTTCCTTGACCCGGCGCCCAGCTGCTGGCGTGCTGCCTGAATGCGGCCTGCATGGGGCTGATGGACGCTGGCCTGCCCATGAAGTCGCTCTTCTGCGGGGTGACGTGCGCCCTGGACGCCACCGGGGCCATCAGCCTCGACCCCACGGCCAAGCAGGAGAAGGTGGGTGTGGGACTGCCCAGAGCCAGACGGCTGTGCCCTAGGGGTGTCTGGGTTTAGCGCCGCGGTGTCCCCACGGGACTAGAAGCAGCAACCAGCACAAGGGGGGGCCCTGATCGGGGGGGGGCAGGGTCTGTACCTGGCACAATGGGTGGGAGGGTCTGTCGCACCCAGCACAGTGGGGGCCGGGGGTGGTGGTTCCTTCCTGACCCTGCGCTGACGGGTGCCCTGGACCATGGAGCTGAGTTGCCTCCGCTCCTCTGACCCGAATGCTCTTAATGGTTCGTAAACGTTGCCAGCCGCTGACCCTCCTGCCTGGTGGTGGGAATCAATTCTCCCTCCCCGCTCCCCCGGCCTTGTCCGCTCCGTGTGTACCGAGAGCGGGGTCTAGCAGGGAGAACGGGGGCCAGCACTCTTCTCTGGCTGTGGGAGTGGAGAGGGGGTCCAGTGGTTAGAGCCGCCAGGGGACTGGGAGTCAGAAATAGGGGGAAACTGTGACACAATGCGAGGTGGTGACCTCTGCGAGCAGAAATAGTGGAGTTGAAATAATCCCCGGTCGGGGGGGGGGGGGGTCGGTCGGTGTGGCCTGTGGAACTCTCTGCCACTGGACGTAGGCGCGAGCAGGCTGCCTGGCTAACAGCGCCTGCAGCGCACATGTCTGATACGAGGGGAGTTAGCCAAGCCCTGGCGGGCTGGGACCATAGAGGTGGGATCCTGGCCTGCGAGGGTCCCGGGTGAACGGGGAAGGCCCCGGCATGGTCTATCCCCCCCCAGCGGCGTGGCCGGGCCGTTCACTGTCCCCCTTCCCTGGCAGGAGGCTCGGGCCGTGCTGACCTTCGCCATCAGCAGCGTGGAGCAGCAGGTGCTTATGTCCACCAGCAAGGGGACGTGCTCGGTGGAGGAGGTGAGCGGGGTGTGGCCGGGGTGCCATGCGCGGGGGACGTGGGGTCCTGCGCGTCCCAGGCTGCTCAAACCAGGAGCGTGTTGGATCAGGCTCGGCGATCTCGGGGGTCTCTCGTGCACCGAGCCGGGAGCCCTGCTTGGTCCCTGCCGGGTGCAGACGGATCTGCTGGCGGCAGGGCTGGGTTTGGGATGCGGCTCTGTGGCCTGGAACTGGGGATCCGGGTGAGGAGCAGTTGGGATCGGGGCTGGCCAAGCCCGAGTGAGCCCAGACCCAGGGGTGGGAGACGGGGCGGATGTCAGTCCCGGCCGGGGCGGGAGGCTGTTAGTATCCCAGGCCTGGAGCAGTTTGGAGCGTTGATGTGTTATTGGCCGTGCTGTCAGGGAGAGCAGCTCGCCCGGGGGCCGGGCAGGGATCCCCCCTCGTGGGAAGGGGCCGCCGAGCGGTGCTGCTGGCTAGATCGGGGTGGGGGGCCCCCTCTGTACCCGGGAGGGGTCATGTCCGGCCGCAGCCGCTGCTCAGTGTGTGCCGGCAGGTCGCAGGCTGGGCCCTGCCTTGGCCCCCGGCGCTCTCGCTTCTGGGATCTCAAAGCGCGTATGGGCGCCGAGACCGTCCAGCAGCGCGCAGGGTCTGAGAGGGGGCGGGACGGCTCCCCCGCCCCCCCGAGAATCCCCCGTGCATGGAGCCTGCGCTGCATCCCCTTGCTCCCAGACCCCCCACCCCGCATAGGGGGCGTGGCCGGAGCGCACTGCTGGGGCTGGTCTCTGCCCCCCCCAGGGGGGGGCCTCTAGTGCGTGTGGTTGTGATTGCGCACACACGGCAATGCACGCGCACACATCGCTTTCCAGCGCGTGGTTGTGGCTGTGTGTGCGTTGATCTCGTGTATGTGTTGCTTTCCAGTGCACGGCTGTGATTCTGTGTGTGCACTCACTGCCGTGTTGTGTTGTGGCTGTGTGTTGCTGTGGTGTGTGTGGTTGTGATTCTGTGCACACTGGTTGCCGTGTTGTGTGCCCCCGTAGCTTTCCAGGTTGTGGCTGTGTGTGCGTTGCTGTGGTGTGTGCACTCGCGTTGGCCTAGTGGACACACATCACAGCGTGTGTCTGTGGCTCCCGGTGCCTGTTACCACCGGGGGGGGGGCATCTCCCCCCCCCCGTGCCTCCCCCGATCTCTGCTGCTGTCAATCCATTCCTGCCCCCCCTTCCCCCCCCAGCTCATCCCAGGAGGGGGCTGCGCCCACACGCCCGCTGCAGCGAGGGAATTGACGTGAGACATTCAGAGCCTGGCTGCTGCGGGGGGCTGGATCTCAGCCCTGCCTGCATGTGGGGGGCAGAGCAATGGAGGGGGGCGTTCCCCAGCTGGCTCTTAACCCTTCAGTGCCCTGGCGGGGGATGAGACAGGCGAGAGCTGATGCTGGGCCTTGCTGCGTTTACAGCTCAGCTCTGCGCTCCGGCTTCCCTAGGAGAGTCGTTTCCCTCCAGACCCTGGGAAATCTGCCACACAGGGTCGGGGGTGAGGGGCACCGGCAGAGCTGGGGGGGG